ATGTTATATCCTCTACTTATGTACTAGTGACTTAAGGGTGTTTTGTTATCTGAACACAAACAGAATTTCAATGTTAATTTGAATTATGATTGCTTTTATTTTTTTGCCCGGTTGGAGTGCTTTTGGTAGGGGGAGAAAATTAAGATAAGGAAATAACTACAGAGGGAGACCCAATTACTCTTTGAAAATGCATCTCCTTGCAGTCAAAACATTGAAGTAGAAGATGAAAATTAAACATTCAGCCATATAGGGATATTGTTTAAAAACCACACTTAATGGTTTAAAATTGAATATCAATGTTTTGAATTCTTTAGTTCTTTAAACATTTGTTGGTGAGTTGACTTTACTTTCATAGCAGATCAGTAATAAATTCACACTATTAAACAGTCCCTTTCCCTCCCTCCTGCAATTCCTTTCTACACAACTGTGACTTTCCTGCAGGGTCTGGGCAGCTAGACTTTGCTAAGCATAAATGTTCACACTTGCTTTTGTAAACTCAGTGGATGATAGCAGCGAGCACTATCAGGATACACTCATGGGTGTGGAAATGTCACTTTCTGTATTTTAAAGCTATGAATTAAGTCCTGATAGCTGCAAACTACAATAAGATCATCCTTTTCCCCCAAATTCAAGGGCAAGATGAAACTAAAGGTTTTATAATATTGCAATACTAGTATTCCTGTTATAAAGAAAGGAAATTTAAAAACTACCACTTCCATGAACTAGAATAGGAACAGGTGAGTTGGGAGGTGGACAGGGAGAAACAGAGAAATAGATGACAAAGAATTGCAGATGATGGAGAGAAGCCTGTGTTTAGAAGGTTTGAGGAACCAACATCAACATAATGATGATCATCAGCATTTGTTGAACTTCTGTCTTGTGGGAAACTTTGTCCTAAGGACTGTGTCTACATTCATCCTTAATAGTGGAGTCTGCAAAGCAAAAAGAATATCATTCAGGGAGCAAACCCCAAGGAAAAGTGCTCTGAAAGGAGAATTTTCCCTAAAAACTTCTGTGTGTTGAGATCACAGTACTGGCTAGTTTGCAGTCTATTTGGGAGAATGATACCTTTGCTAGGACCATAGAGAACAGTGTTGCATCCTGAGGGTCAGAACAAGTGGAAGAGGAACAGCGCACAGAGAATATGTGTTTCTACCAATACCACACATATGTACTTAGAAAACCTCCCGCTAATTTCACAGAATCACACATTACAGAACAGGAGGAAACCTGAATTGGGGTGGATAACTCAAAACCTAAGCAGCTTTGTAGATAGAGAAATTAAAAAAAAAATAAAATAGGGATATCTCTAATTACAGTGCTGGCTCATCTGAGCAGAATCCCAGGGACCTTGTTCTTAACCCTAAACTATAGTCTGCAGAGCCTTCCTTCTGTCTGTTGAGGGTCTTAAATTCTTTTCCTTCTAATGGAGACTATATTCTTCCAAACTTAAAGATATGATCCAAAGTTTTTCTTTATCCTTAATAATTTTTCTCTTTTTCCAAACTGAAGAAGGGAGTGAGTGGGGGCTTCAGTTTCCTTATCTGTTCTTCCTGTTTCCTGGGCAGCTTCACTGAGGAACTTTTCTTGTCACTTTTGGTCTAAGGGAAGGGAAAGCACATCTTCAGGATATCTTAGCAGTGTTTAAATGCCATCATGGATTGATAAAGATTTCCCTTTATTGGAGGAAAAATATGCCCCAGAGACTTTACATTTTCAAAAAATTGCACATGAACTCAAGGGACTTGTGTGTTCTAGGGAAGCCATTCCTGTTTGCTAATCTACAGTACAGAAGCATACCTTGTTGTAAAACAGATTGCATTCCGACTCAAACAGTGACAAAAAAGGAGAAATGTCTGTATAAATTAAGGTCACTTAAATAGTTACCCTTTTAGGTCAGGGGCATGTTCTAAGGACCCACAGTGGATACCTGACATCTTGGATAGCACCAAACCCCAGAAACACTTTGATAGTTCAGTAGTCCCTTTGGTAACCTAGATGGCTCTAAATGACTAATGGGCAAGTAGCATGTACAGTGTGTATACATTGCACAAGTGGATGCTGCATGTCCTGGGTGGAAATGAGCCAGACAGCATGAAATTCCATCAAGCTACTTGGAATGGTGCACAGTTTAAAACTTTTGAATTATTTATATTTTTGAAATCTTTTCTTTAATTTTGTGGATCATAGTTGACCACTGGTAACTGAAACATGGAAAACAAAAATGGCAGATGAGAAAGGACTGCTATAATTATAACTTGGATTTTACCTGAATTTTACTTTGACTTCAAACATAAAGTTCTCTGTCTACTTTGGATAACTCAAAAATCTGACTAGAAGGGAATGTTGTGGTAGAATGGAGCACAGTGGCTTAAGCATTTTAAGACAGGCTGTGAAACTAGGAAAACAGTACTTTTGGACACCCAGGTAATTTCATGAAGAGCGTATGGCAGCATGAGAACAGAGTTTTCCCATCCTGAATTTCATTCAAGCCTCTTTTCCTGAATATGGGCAGTGCATATTTTTGCCATCCTATGCAGCTTGCCACGATTGTCTCCCAGGGTTGCCAAAGTTTAATTGATGGAAGCATACTCTTGATGGAGTGGTAGTACTATACGTTTTGATGATTCAGATGTGGCCTCAAGGTCCTGTTGTGCCACAACCCCAACAGTAGGAATGCACATGGTAACTACCTCACAAATCACAAAGCCCCAGATGACAGATTGTGCAATAAATCAGCTCACATTTTACCTAGAGCAGTAAAATATAATCTTTAACTCATGTTAAACACCAAAAACCTGCTTTGGATTTGTGATGGGGATAGCCAGCCCTGTATTTTTCAAAGATTTTCTTCTCCTTCTTTTAAATTCTTTTAAATTGTAACAGCCAAACCATTTCAGTGATTCTCTTTCTCTTTTCTTCCATTTGTCCATCTGTCCTTTTCCTGGATGTCACTGTGTTGCTCAGGCTGACCTTGAATACCTAGACCCCAGTAATCTTCCTGCCTCAGCCTCCTGTGTAGCAAGGACTACAGGCTCTTAATCATTTCTTAAATATCTTTCAAAGTTCTTCCTTATTACTGAAATACACATTCCATACATAACCCTTCCCCTTTGAGCTGTGTTCTAATGGGCCTGACGTTCATTTTGGAATCATTGTCCCATTTTTTAAAAGCTACTATAATTATCCTTTACTGTTGTGAAGAGATTCTTTTTTAAAATGTATGTTTAAATGGCACGTGAGGTTATTGAAGTGTGGTAGGGTAAGGAATGGGCTGGAAGCTCAGAGACTCAAAGTCATGGTTTTGCCAATAACTCACCTTAAAATCATCTGGAAAAGTGCTTCCTAATCTCTCTGTGACCCCATACCTATGCATGTAAATGGCATTAAAACTAGCTCACCCCAGTGCAATGATAATAGCCATACAGCCTTAACAATGGCGTTAGTACATTTGTTTAAGGCCTATTAATAACTAAAGAATATCACCTTTTTTTTGGTCCTTATAATAATTTTTCTGGGAAAGGTAATCTTGTGTTGCTATTAGGGAAATCACTGCAGGTGAATAACCAAAAATTCTACACACTTTTTCTAGTCTGGTTATGTTATATTGTGTATAGCTATGTGGAAGTATGCACTAACACAGATATACACACAAACATACTTACACACACCACCTTGACCACTATGACTCACAATGAGGTAGTTTTAAAAATAATATTCAGTTGGGACAGTAGCCTGCTTGTCCAGTAGATATTTGGAGTCCATCAACACCTGGGTGGTGTTTTTGTTTTTTCTTTCATTTTTATGCTCCAAGTGTAGAGGTCCTCCTTAGACTATTATTATTTTGCTTTACTGCTAAAAGGAAATAGGACTTATGATCTATTTTCTTTTTTTAAACAATAATTTGCTTTTATACATTTTATATGGTTTATAAAGCCCGTGTTTTAAAAGCACCATTCCTGATGAAGCAAGATATAGGGAACACTCAAGTGCCAGGGTATATAGAAAGCATAGATCCATCTGGAAACTGTTAAGAACTCATTGGCAGGTTAGTGCTGTGAGTGTCAAAGTACATGAGCTTATGGAGACTTCTGGGAATGGTCGCCTTCTGGGGTGGCCATTATGCATCAGTGTGTTCAGTTCTACACCTTGTTGGGCAAATGCCCCCACTGTCAAGAAGTCACCTGTTACAACAGTGACAGAGGGGTGGTGGTGTTGAACTGCAGAAGGATCATATTACATGGACCTTAGGGAGTATCATAGGGCCAATAAAGTAGGATTCCACAGACTATACTAATTTTTCTTTTTCTTTTTGGTTTTTACTGGGATTGAGCTCAGGGATGCTTTACCACTGAGCTACATTCCCAACCCTTTTAATTGTGAGATAGGGTCTCTAATTTGTGATCTTCTTTCCTCAGTCTCTGGAGTAGCTGTGATTATAGGTGTGTGCCACTGCACCTGACCTGTTGTCTCTTTCTAAGTCATCTCAGGATGTTAAAATTACCTAATGGTGGTACAGTTATAGAATAGTGCTGTTCATAGAAAATTCTAAGAAGATGAGGATTTTTTATATCTGTGCTGCTGTGCCCAACCTGGTAGGAAGTATTCACAGGTGGCCATAGAATATATAAAATGGTTGGAGTGACTGAGACCCTGAATTTTAATAGTATGAAATTTAATTTTAGTTGGTATAAATGTGGTCAGTGACTACCAGGTTGATCAAAGCAAGTCTACCAACATTATGCTGCATGCATATCTATTATTTACAAGACTAACTGCAGTAAAATCCTGAGTATTTTCCATTTACTGACCTTGAGAACACATTGGTAGTAGGAAAGAGCACATGGTGTATAAAAAGGTATGAAAGAAACTGGGGCTTTAAGTTTAAGTAAGATACATGGAATTGCAGTATTCAACCCATGTAAATGGTGATAGATTCTCAGAGGTGATCATAAAGTAGTGTTTCAGATTGTAAGTCTCCCTTGATTTTGTTTCTACAGGCTCTTTCATGCTGGTGAATGCATCTGGGAGACCTGAGGGGCAGAGAGCTCACCTACTCTTACCTCAGCTTAAGGAAAATGATACCCACTGCATTGACTTTCACTATTTTGTATCCAGCAAGAGTAATTCTGCTCCTGGGTTACTCAATGTCTATGTGAAAGTCAATAACGGACCTTTGGGAAATCCTATCTGGAATATATCTGGAGACCCAACACGTACATGGAACAGGGCAGAACTGGCCATTAGTACATTCTGGCCTAACTTTTATCAGGTATGTGTTTTCTTTTCATTTCGTGTTTTGAAGCATCCTCTAATTTCTAAGAATATGAATTGTTTTTATGTTAATATAATTAGAATGTAAAATAAATAATGGGTTCCTTTTAAAATACCACTGTAATTATTACCCATGCTATTTGATGACAAATGTCTTATGACTTTTTGAAATGAATAAAAATCCAATTCACATTTGTTTATGCACAAACAAAGCAATATCCCTCAGTAGGGCAAGCAGTGCTATGTGCAGGGATAGTTTACTTTCTATCTTGAGTTAGCCATGTTGACCCCTGGAGACAGTGCTTGAGTCTGAAGGAAGATGGCTCTCCTGTGAATGGGTCTCAGGAGTGGATGAGTCATGAAGAAGTGAGCCCTTGTTGGGGTCAGCCTGTGAAGTGCGGGTTCCTTCTTCTACCCCTGGAAGCAGTGGGAACAAAATGCCATGTGGAGACCAAGTCCTTGTCACAGAGGGCTGCTGCCAAGTTCTGTTATTTTGGAGATTTTTTTTTTTTTTAGTTGTAGATGACACAATACTTTTATTTATTTATTTCAAATGGTGCTGAGGATTGAACCCAGTGCCTCACATGTGCTAGGCCAGCACTCTACCACTGAGCCACAACCCCAGCCCTTGGAGACTCTTTTGAGAACCATGTTGCCCACTTTGAGTGAATTGCCTTTTAAAGTAATGCAGGCAGGAAGTCCAGGGCAGTTAAGAGCAGTGATCTAAGGTCACATCCCTCTGTCAGGGATGCTGTCACACAAGAGCATCCTGCTGTGCAACTAAAGGCAAAAAATAAGTGACAGTGGGCATTTGAGGTGCTTTTACCTTTTATCCATGGCATCTTTTACAAATAGCTTGGTATCAAGAATACACAATTGATTTCCAGCTAAGAGGCAGCCTGAAGAGGATTGTGGTATTTTGCTGTTCTCTTTCTTAATTCCTTTGGCTCATTCAGGAGTCAGCTGGAACATACGTCTCAGATCATTTCTCATGTTCAATTAAGGTGCTTGGCTAGACTTAGAGACAGGAAACTAGATTTTTCAAGGGCTCCTTGTCTTCAGAATGGGCATGAAATGCACCCAGTAATACATCCTACAGATTTGGTGTTGATCAGTATCGATCTATCAATTCCAGATCCTTACCTGGGGGTTGATAATGGGAATAAGTGGGCTGTAAATTTCTTGCTTAGTTTATCTTTGTTTCCCTTTACTTACAGCAATTTTTGGTATTTATTAAATTACAATTAAATGTTTCTTCAGTAGAAGTGAAGAGATAGTGAAAACTCTGTTATTACACAAGCAAATTGTTAAAATGTTTTCTAAGTGCACATTGGCAATAAGTTTTAGAGTGTTAAAAAATTAGATATGTCTTATTTTAGGAATATACATTAGGAATTTATCCTGAAAAAATAATGAAGAGTGATTGAAAATAATTAACTACAAGGATATTCATAGCAGTTTATTTATAATAATGAAAAACAGAAACAGTATCATTTTCAATAATAAAGGATTTGTTAATATATGCTCTCTCAATACAAAAATTCATTTTTGCAAACACTAAGAATAATGTTAGGGAAAAGCATTTAGTAATGTATTTAGGCCTGTGTTTAAATGGATAAAACAGGTACAAAGCAACATATTAAACTGTACTCTTAAATTTTAAAAAATATGTGATAAAGATCAAAATACATCCTGAGGGCTGGGGTTGTAGCTTATTGGTAAGTACTTGCCTTGCATGCATGAGGCATTGGGTTCGAACCTCAGCACCACATAAAAATAAAATAAAGATGTTATGTCCACCGAAAACTAAATATTAAAAAAATAAATATTAAAAAATCCTCTCTCTCTAAAAAATAAATAAATAAAGATATTGTGTTCATCTATAACTAAAAAAATATTTTTAAAAATATATATTCTGAAATCAATACATACAAACACGATTTCTCCCTAACTAGAGGAAAAACTGTGGTTTGATTCTTTTCCTTTGTGTCATCTGTCATAAATTTCTCCAGTGTGCATGTACTGTTTTTATTCATGCAACAAAAAAGAGAAAAACATATTTCTTCCATAAGAATGAAAATATTCTATTTAATGAATACCTTCCTCTGATAAGAAATGTACTAGTAACCAATTGGTAATATAATTAACAAAGATAGTCTCTGGGACAAAGCTTCTTCCTTCATATGGTTAAAAGCAAGCAGGGGCAAGAGGGGTTGGCCATGTGAGTCTTTAGCAGGTTTCTCCATGTTGGTTCAGGCTCAGAGGCTGAGTGTGATTATAAGGTTCATCTGGAGGAAACTTCTCATACCACTCTGGGATGTTCTCTCTGCCTTCTGAAACAGGTTACAGGTTGTTCCTCACCTCAGGCAGCTGCTGAATTGAGTCCAGTGGGACACATTGGTAGATAAGATCAGAAAGTATGTCCTTGCCCTTCTTTGCCTCAGTTTGCTTGCTCTGGCCTGAGCAATGCTCAACCCCAAACCTTTCTTAAATGAGTTCTCCAGAAACCTTTTAATGCACTGGTTTACTATGACATTGGCTACAGTTGAGAGCTAGAATTTGTTTCCCCTTTTTGCACCCCTACTGAGCCAATATTGTTAAAGAATGAGGATCTTTGGAAAACTCCTTGTTCATTTAATCCTAAGTGTTCCATCATGTGCCCACCTTTGAAGTTTTAAAGGCATGGTGAGAGCAATAATTCCCACATATTTTCATTTGTCTGTTGGGCACAAGTAAACAAACCCAAGTCATTACCCTAGTAACATCATCAGCTATTAGCAAATGACACATTGTAGATGATACAAGAGAGATGTCAGCAGGAAACTTAACACTGAGCCGTAGACCTTCAAACTGACATATAAGACCTGAACGATGTTTTCCATTTGGGATGAGATGGACAAGCTGTATTAAAAGAGATGAAGTTAAAGGAAACCACCATCTAAAACCTGTATCCAGCCCTAACCAGAGGTGTCAGATTAACTAGAGAGGCTGAGATGAAAAGTCAGAACAATGAACTGTCAGGTTTGTGGGTGAGGTGTATGGGTGGGTGAAGAGCTTCCCTGGGCAGCTGACTCAGTCCTCATCCCATGGGGTCAGCATACCCTGACAAAAGAGATAGCTTTTGTCACCTGATGTTTTTTAAAATGTGAGTTATACAAGAACCTATTGGCTATGGTATAATTTTTCACATAGATTTCTCTATAAGGAGTTTTGTATTAGCTTGAAGAAGTGAATTTGGTTTGAGACTATTTTATTTCTAATTTCAAAATATAAAAATAATTTTGGTTATTATGCATGTATGCATACATGTGCGTAACATTTTCTTTGGGGCATAAAAACCAGGATCCAAATAAAGCATTCTTAGGATACTGATTGGCTTTTCTGGTCCTGAAAGCTGAAGATAATAGGACTTTGGTATCTGAAGACGGTCCTCTTGAGTAACCCACTCTGGTCACAGGGAGTCAGCTTCCCTTTGACAACCTCCACATTATTACGTCAGTGTACATTATGGAGAGTGCAAAAATTTAATATAAGGTTCACATACACTTAAATGTTAGTATATTAAAATATATTTATGTAGTACTTGTTTCTACAGTACTAGTTTTCACACTAGTAAGGAGTGAGAGTTTGTTTTTTGTAATTGTTTCTCTGTGTGACTGGAGGTTGAACCCAGTTGAGACATGCTAAACATGTGTTCTATCACTGTATACCAGCTATTCACAACCCATAGTAAGTAGATTTGTTATGAGTTAAAACGGATATACAAACTGATTTAAAGGCATCCCGCAGTATAATACTGTTAAGGGCAGCATCACAGCGTAGTAAAAGAAGATACACTTTGGATGGACGGAAACAGATTTGGATAAGTCTTGCTGACTTACAAGGCTGGACAACTGATTTGAACTTTATGAGTCTCCCGTTCCTAATTATGGATTAAGTATAATGACCATGTAGAGTGTGAAGATGAAAGTAAAAATGTGTTTGTGATATGCTGGCCTTTCAATAAATGATGGCAGTTTGTTGAGCCACAGGCAAGATTTGTGGGAGACATGAAAGAGGAAAATAGTTAATAGCTGAGTGCTTTCTCCCTATGCAGGCACCTCCTAAATGTGTTTAGTGGAGTGTCCAAAGGTAGTAAGTGAAAACGAGAACCAACAAATTGTTTTGTAAAACACAGGGTGAATCAAAGTAATCCAAGTTCTTTCCATAACAGTAGTCCAGAGCCAGGCTCCAGAGGCTGAGGCAGGATGATCCCGAGTTCAAAGCCAGCCTCAGCAATTTAGGGAGTAACTTAGCAATTCAGGGAGACCATATCTCTAAATAAAATATTTTAAAAGGGCTGGGGATGTGGTTCAGTGTTTAAACTTGGATTCAATCCCTGGTACCACCCCCCGCCTCCCCGCTTCAATATTCTAGAACTGCTGTCCTACAAAATTGCAAAGTTAGGTTTCATGAGGGTTCATGGAATTCTACCTTCCTGTACCTGTTGGGCCATATCCTGAAGAGCCAGTGCTGTAGGGGCACATCTGGGGACAGCTGTGTTTGTCATTTCCATCTACCTCCTGGGCTTCTGTCAGGAATGTCCACATCTCACTCAAGGATTGACCATGAAATGTGGAGTCCTTTTTCATCTTAGTCAGAATCTGAGCATTATAGTTGTTAGGTTGGGGAAAGTTTTTGATCAAATCAGACACAGCTGTTCCAAGTTCTTTTGTTGAAGAGTGTACGTCTTCATGGGCATTTCTTGTTTTCATAGTCTTTCCTTCAATGTGATTGTTAAAGACTTACAGAGCTTTGAAACATTTCTTGGCTGTGACCAAAGCCTTCTTGCACTGCAGTCATTTTATGTACCTCTTAATTCTGTCTGGTGGAATAGTATTCGGCAGGTACAGAGCACAGTGATAACCTGCATGAATACAGCTAATTACTATTTCTTAAAACATAAATTGTCAAGTATGTGGTGCTTAAAACATATTTAATTCCTTAATTAATGTTTGT